CTGTAAATATATGCACAAAGATTCAAATTCTTGATTCCAACATTTCTTTTGTAATAATTCATCTAGAAGCATTAAGAAAAAATACTATCATCTATTGTAGTCTCTGTAAATTGTACATTTACAATATAGTCAGGTAATACAGGCTTGTCTTAAAAGATCTGACTTTGGAGCTCTTTAAACATTATAATGTATGAGGGTGGAGGTTCAGTCTCCGAGCTAGTGGGTTGGTTTCTGAACATTTGGAATCCAACCCACAAGCTCGGAGAATGAACTTCTACCCTCATCTTATACTCGAGCTACATATATTTGCCACTAGCACAAATATAATGTATTAAAGTAGTTACATATGTATGATAACCTTCATAGTGTCTATTTAAAGTGCACTCATTGTCATGTTTTTCCTTTCCCTCCAGGTCCTTTCAATATGTCCCAAGGACATGAGAGCGGATATATGCGTGCATCTCAATCGGAAGGTTTTTAATGAACATCCAGCTTTTCGGCTAGCTAGTGATGGCTGCCTGCGAGCACTTGCAGTGGAATTCCAGACAATCCATTGTGCTCCCGGAGACCTTATCTATCATGCTGGTGAAAGCGTAGATGCCCTCTGCTTTGTTGTCTCAGGATCATTAGAAGTCATACAGGATGATGAGGTGGTGGCCATCTTAGGTAGGATGATGAACTGGCAGCCATCTGCCATTACTCTGATACAAATGGGGCATTTTTATACACTTTAAAGTGATAAGACAATTGCTTAAAATGTCAAGGGGGTACTATCACCCAGTCATTGTTATTTAACAAGTTATATTGAGACATGTTGTTGTTATAGGTAAAATCCATTGATGAGTTTATTTTTTAACAAAATTCCAGACTACAAAACTTTAGATCAGGGGTGTCAAACTCGCAATGTCATGTGACGTGTCGCGACATATCATGATTTTTTTTCCATTGCTGGCATCCGGCCCATAGGCCGGCAGTTTGACACCCCTGGTTTAGATGGTGTTTGAATCTATTAAGTTTTGTACTTAATTCTTATTTATTTTCTTATATAAAATAAAAATGTTTATATAAAATAAATATTCATATCCTCCCTTTCCCCCGAAGGCTCATAAAGGTGTACATTGAATTTTCTCCCTTGGTTTTTAACCACAAGAATCCTTTTAAGGGCTTGGGCTGAAACAATTAGTCACATAGGAACAAAAATTAATCAGCCTACTTCCCCATCATGGATGACATGATAGCAATGTTCCAATATCTAAAGGGTTGCCACAAAGAAGAGGGAGTCAAGCTATTCTCCAAAGCACCTGAAGGCAGGACAAGAAACAATGGATGGAAACTAATCAAGGAGAGAAGCAACCTAGAACTAAGGAGAAATTTCCTGACTGTTAGAACAATTAATCAGTGGAACAACATTGCCTCCAGAAGTTGTGAATGCTCCAACACTGGATGTTTTTAAGAAGAGATTGGACAGCCATTTGTCTGAAATGATATAGTGTTTCCTTCCTAAGTATGGGGTTGAAGTAGAAGACCTCCAAAATCCATTCCAACTCTGTTATTCTGTTCTATTCACCCAAATTTGTTTACTCTATTAGCAAAAGTCTTTTTTTTAAAAAAAAATAAATCCTTCTTTATACCCTCATACATTTTGAGAGTAGATTGTGAGAGCATAATTATTTCAAGCTAGCAAAATAATGGGCACAAGGTCACCTAGATGCAAACATTAATTGCTGACTGTTAGGAGCTGAACATAATTTTTTACTCCTATTTATATTATGCACAATATTATTAAATACAATTAAGAAAAAATAAATGAATATATGTTATTTTCCTCCTGTCCATGACCTGCTTTAATATAGTAATTAGCTAGAAATGTAAGATGCTTGGCTATTGTATGAGCTTGCTAATGCTGTGGTAATGAAGTGTGTGTAATATAATAGCCTCCCCAAGGAAACATCACAAGTGTGCTGCTCATCCTATCAGAATGAAAAACGTCATTCTAGAACTACATCCATCAGAACAGAAATCATTGATTCATAAATACTGTGAATTGTTTGCTTGGCATAATACTTATTTTCATAGGGAAAAGTAAACACACCCACCACATTTAGATTTAACAATGGGTAAAATGAGACATATTCAAGTGGTACAGACGGTTGATGGGGAATGAAACTTTATAGAATAATTTTCTTTGGGCCAAGGCCACATTTGATTACCTGTTTCCCAAAGTAAAGAGCCAAGAATAAATACTAAGATTGGTTTAATTCAGTTTAACTATAAGCCTAATTAAAGCTAGATGCAATGAATTAAATACAGTTATTTAAAGTAGAGTAGAGTAGAGTAGAGTAGAGTAGAGTAGAGTAGAGTAGAGTAGAGCAGAGCAGAGTAGAGTAGAGTAGAGTAGAACAGAACAGAACAGAACAGAACGGAAAACAGAGTTAAAAGGGACCTTGGAGGTCTTCCAGTCCAAGGTCCTGGAGGTCTTCCAGCTCAGGCAGGAAACCCTATACCATTTCAGATAAACCTATGTATTAAATAAATAATATATATTAAATAAATATCCCTCTTCCTCATTTCAAAACAATTTGATGAGCAATTTGGAAGAGCGCTGATGGCTGCATTCAGGACCTCAGAAGCCATGTGATCCTGGGATCTCACATTATGCACAATCATCCTAATGTTAACTGCCATGGTAAAACATTTTTCAAAACTGGGAGCACCAAAAGATTTACTTAAGGATATCCTTTCCTCACGTGGTACTGTTTCTCCCTCATGAGTCTTGATTTCAGGTGGGATTTAGGAATCATCCATATCTGATCTTTTCATTTTTAAATCCAGGCAAATTCAGTCTCTGCCCTGAGGTGATTTGGCTTTTCTTTTAGCAAACTTGGTAGCCCTCAATCTACTTTTAACAAGCTGCAAGGAATCAATCAATCGTCCCTCAAGGAAGACCCTTCCCTCTTTTCTGTCATCCTGATGACAACAAAGCAAAGGTGGAACAGATGAGAGGGAAGGAAGAAATGATGAGAAAATGAAAGAGACTGAAAAGACAATGGAACAAAAAGAGGGAAGAAAACATGGCTGTAAACACTTTAGTGTCTGGGCTTACAAGAATGTAGTTCCTCAGATAATGTGGCTCTTCATAGAAACCAGTTCTTAGATCTGTTTTAGCCCTGTTGTTTCCCAAGAGTCCACTGATGGATTTCACCCTGTTCCTTACAGTTATTTTCATTTACCTTGCTGTAGTTACAGTACATGAAACTCATCTAAAAAAATAAAAAAGAATGGGCATAAGAGTTGTGTACAAGAGCAGACAGAGCTGGACTGTTCGAATATATTTTCTGCTATATAAAATGTCACATTCTTACTATTAGAAACTATATGAACTAAGATGGTTAAATGCTTGGGATAGAAAGCTTTCAAATTCACATCCTTTGATATTAGAAAGTTTCTTTCTAATATGGCATCAGAACAGTGTCACATCCTTCTTAGAGTACCATTAATCTACAAGCTATTAGCAAAGAATGAATGGAATATATCTGCAGAAGCAAATATTTATACAAAAAATGTTCCTATTAGGGCAAATTGAGTTGAAATGTGCACAAAAAGGGAAACTTGACAACAGAAAGGAATACATTTGAGTGTGTATGTTAAATCACAGATCGATGTGGAAATTGGATGGAGTAGAGTTGGAGTGAAACCAACTAAGATCAAAATTAGACAAAATTGTCCACTACTGGTTCATATTGATTTGCTATAGTAGATGGCAGATGCTTTCTGAGGATAACTAATGCCTATATCTTTAGGGGGAATGATTTACTATCAACCAGCTAAAGGTCTTTTGCCAATTAAATACTGATTTTTAACCAATTACTGTGTATTAATTACTTGACTACAATTTGCTATGGGAACATATTTAGACTAGTAAATTTTTGAATAAAGGTGTCTGCTTCTTTTGATATATGGAATAACTTAACATTCAGCAAACATTAACACCGTACATCTTCAAAAACCGAGAAAGCCTCATAGACTACAGTGTTGCGATTTTGTTAGAGATCAGATTATTTTTATAAACATTACTAGCTAACCTCTTACCAATTAATTGCTGTTAAAGGAAAAAGTCAATAGTCCCATATTGTCTTGATTAAATAATGTTCAGTTATGATTCCTAGCCTTCCCAAACATGCCTTAAGCCCAATCTAAGAAGTCTTCCTCCCAATCAACCTTGCCTTTGGCTGCAATTCATGTTCTTCTATGTTGTGGAATGAAGCTAGCAGGCCAAGTATCACACTTTCCTATTGCAAAGCAAAGAATTGGAGACATATATACACTTGTAACACTTTCCTTCTGTTGCAGAGGCATGTGGAAGAAAAAGAAAAGAATTTCAGTTTCAGTGATTCCACAGAGCTACCACCTAATTGCATTTAAGTTAGCGGTCCTTGCTAAAGACATCTGAGATACTGGCCATTCTTTTTTCTTATGAAGGCAAAACCCATGAATTAATTTTCTCCAGAACATGCATGATTGTCATACCTTTAGCACGTCCACATTCACCTTTGTTTCCATATTGATTATATCCTCAAAGGTCCAGTACTAAGTTAGCCTGGGTCTTCCATAAGACTCCTGCTGCTCATTCTTGGCCCAGACCTTCTGTGGTATCGGATCTATTGAAACAAGAGAAGCCCTTTAGTGATAATGAAGCAAAGCAGCCAGTGACTTCCTAAAGCATAATCAAAGAGAGACTAAAAATTCAGATGTAACATTTTTATGCAGGATTATGGCTTCCTACTCTCCCAAGCCTAGCAAGAGTTCAATTTAACACCTGTAAAGACAAACCATTTTTTAAAGATAAACCATTTTGGTTTGCCACCTTGATATCCTTGCAGAAAGTATATGGCATGATTTGTTAAGTTTCATTTCATTTATTTCATTTATACCCCGCCCTTCTCCCGGAGGACTCAGGGCGGCTTACAGCCAGTTTAAAACAATCCCACATAAATACCAAATACAAATCTAAAATAATTAAGAATAAATATTTGAATTGGCCGCTCTATTAAAATTTTGTTAAAACCAATTAAAATACCCCCTAGGCCAGTCCTGCCTGCTGAAANAGGGCGCGGCGGAAGGAGGGGAGATCCGGAATCACCCGGATCTCTGGGGGCAGCTCGTTCCAGAGGGTGGGCGCTCCGACAGAGAAGGCTCTCCCCCTGGGGGTCGCCAACCGACACTGTCTGGTTGGCGGCACCCTGAGGAGGCCCTCTCTGTGGGAGCGTATCGGCCGGTGGGAGGTAATCTGTGGCAGAAGGCGGTTATATTAAGTTATATTAAGTGAAACAAATTGAAGAGCAAATAGTGTATATTGATCTTTAACAGTAGTAATTTTACTTTTCTCTTATGTATCTCAACATTTCAGCCTTTATTTGATCAGTGATTGGTAAGAATTTCAGTCCATCCTAGTGTCAATAGGAGCAGCTTTAATTACCGAAAATATCTTTTACTCTTTTCATCATCCTGGGTACACCATCCTGTGAATTACTTATTATGTCACCAAGAATTCTGATAGAAAATATAAATTGATCTCAAAGGGAATTGCGCAATAAAGAGTTTGACTAGGCCTTTCCTTAAGGTACTTTGTCAAATTGCTTAGCTACAGTGATTCATGAAGCTGATTT